CCCTTCATTCTACCCTCTACTTTTCATTTAATCTCTTGTTACCTCTAACGGAGCGGCATCGTTGTTGTAGTCCTTTGGAAATTCTTACGACTAAGCTTATCCATTATTGAGCACAGCTTTGGCCGGTGGCATTTACACCATTCTCTCTGGAAGGAAAATTAATTTTGACGAGTTGGTTAGTTCTACAGTAGCAGCCAGTAGTTCCAGGGGAGATAATTACTTGTCGTTGAGCCAACACATTGCTTGTGTGGGTGTCATATGGTCTGGAGTTCATTCGTAGTAGAGTTCTTTCGCTGTCGTACCGCGTAGGTCTGGTAGAATTGAATTTTAGCGTCTACTAACAAGATCTTACTGATCATCCACGTCAACCGTTCTTGGGTAATGTAACATTGCTGCCACCTTCACGCTAAATATTGTCCGTTCCACTGCTCTGGGAAAGCTGAAAATCAGCGCAGCTCCCAACGGGCAGTGAGGGATAGACAAATGGCCTTCCTGCAGGACAGATGTAATATTAGGTCGCAACGAAAGTCCTTGCGGGATTTTTCAAAAACCTGGCAAATGGCTACACACCAACCTCTGCGGAAAATTTCAAAACCATATGTAGGGATAATGATATTCATATCCTCAAGTCTTACCTCCTGCACGCTTTTTGAAGCCTGGAAAATGCCATGTGTTTCGACCCATGTACGCCACTGTTTTCTTTGCGAATTTTGTCTGGGACAGCGAGCGAAGCCTGCCGCAAATATATGCTCTGTGGAAGTAGAAGGAGTGGTAAGTGAAAAAACCTGCCAACTTTGGTTCAGAAGGTTCCGCGAAGGAAACTACAACCTCGAAGATGGACGCCCAACGAAGTCAATTTCGAACGTTTGGAGCTGTTACTTCAAGACTTTCCGCATGCAAGCGCCAAGGAGCTGGCAAAGGAGATGCAGTGCTTCAACATGGCCACAGGTCGTGTTCATCACAAGCTGGAAAAAGTTGAGAAACTTGGTCGATTGATCCCTCATGAGCTGACAGAGCATTGCAAGAAAAGAGGTATCGGGGTGTGCAGAGGTTTCTTGCAAGGAGCGTTTCGATTGGCTGGATAATGTCATTACTAACCGTGAAATGAAAAATGGGTGCTCCAACAATAAGTAA